TTAGACCTAAAATATAATAATAAATATTCGTTTCTTTTACACATACTTTTTTTAAACAAGTTGTAACACCGCTTAAAATTAGACAGTGTTTTCTTAACTACCCTATACATTCAAAATACAAAATATGGTTCCAGAAGTCTCGTCTGACGGGTGCCTATTACGGATTCTAACAAAATGGAAGGGCTGGCCGCAAAAATTAAACATCAATTCTTAGATAAAATAGAAAATAGCGATAACAAGGTTTCCATCGCGATGATTATACGAGCAGGGAATCTTCTGTTTTACAGACTCAATTAGGTGAAATAAATGGAATTATTTGTTAATGTGGGGAAACGTGACAATCTTCAACGTGTCTATGAATTCCTAAAAACCATTCCTCCAACTATTGTGAAGTCCGAAAGATGTTGTTTGTTCGTTTTATTTACATGTAAAACTGTTATGATTTATTTATATGTTTGTAGGTTTGTTTGTTCGTTTATTTCAAACTGGTTTTAAAATTAAAGATTTACATTTTTTCGGGACTGATCCCACAATTCCGGGATAGTAAACTTTGTCCTGTTTTACTTTAGGGGGTCAATTTTTGTGTGATTTTACCTATTTTTCAGTAAAATCGGTATAAACAAAAAAATTGATAATGTTCATGATGTTATACTTCCATTTGAATAATACTCTCTTTGTCTGAACATGAAATAAAAACACTTATTATAATAGGTAATACCTTATACCTACTAGGTATAAAGAATAAAAAGGGTAGTGGAGCAATTGCACACATTACTCTCCTCTGTATCCGCGCCTCTACTGTGAAAAAATTTATATTGCTATATTTTTTTGACCATTGATTTTAGCCCTCTAACAACAATGGTAAGACGGTAAGTTTTAAGTTTTAAATGTCAAGCAGGTGGTTAAAACTGAAAATTAGGGATGCTTCGAGAATTAAATAAATCGATTGATTCGGAATGGATTGCTTTTAAATTCATTTTTAAATCGGCTATAATAAATCGCTTTTAAAAAAATATATACAGAATTAAGCTAAGATTTAGCGATTTTTGCAGGTATCTTAACTATCTCGTATATGCAATAAATTTATCGATAATAGGCCTTTATTTCCTCGTTTCCTGATAATACTTTAGAATATCATATCTTTTCAACAAACCACCTACCTACCTACATACCTACTTCTGGAAAAGTCATCTTTTTATTTAAAATTTAATTTATATATTACAAAATTATTAAAAATTGTTACAAAAAATATATTTTTTTAATGGTAAAATAAATATAAAATGTAATTATAAACTTGCCAACAAAACGAAAATGACCTTTTCAAAAAGTCAAGTTTTGATTAGTAGCATTAAAAATTCTGATATGATGCATCATAAAATTATATTATATTATATTAAAATTAAACAAACACATTTGATAGCAAACATTGATTGCAAAAAACATAAGAACTTCTAAACAATGAAAATGATCTTTGTTTCTGTATTACTTATTGTTGGAGATACTGCATTTTAGCGTTAAAGGGCAGTATTTTTGTATACTACACGGTTTTGGTTTTTAGGTTGGGTTCTGTTTAATTTATTTTCTCCTGTTTTCTTTTTTTTAACAAAAACACGTTTGTTGAATATTTTTGTAACAATTTATTCACAACTTTTTTTTATTAATTTATTTCAAATCAATTTAAAATCAATCCATTTCAAATCAATGTGAAAATCGATTTATTTAATTCTTAGGTTTAACCCCCAGTTTGAAATTTAAAAAGTTTTATATGGTTTGACAACCACTTGCAATCTATTAATTCAATTTTATTTTTCCAATTGATTACTACAAGCTAAAAATGAAGCAACATATTAATAATTCTAAAAGGAAATATTATGAATTAGGTATACCATACTAAATAACGTTTATTTTAATTTAATTAAAATTCACCTACATTAATATAATAAAATCAAAGCATTAATTTTGTATAATAATAGGTCATCTTACTTTTTAATATAAAAACCTAATTACTAAATTGCAACTTTGGGAATATGCATTACTACCTTATTAAATAAATTTAGTTTAAAAATATATTGATAATAGTTATTAAATTAAAAACAACAAATTTTTAATTATATTATTATACATGTTAAGGAACTTATTCTTAAATGCATTTTAAAAACTTTCATATAATTATAATTATAATCAATTACAATAATACCTTTTATCTTAGTTTAATTAGAGCATGTTTAATGATTTTAAATGTTTTTTTTATAAATATTCAATAAGTGAAATAAATACGGTTTTTAATTATAAAAATTCTTTGGTAATAATGGACATTTAATTACTTAATTAGTTGTTTCGTATATGTAATAATTTGTCCAATTAAAATGTTTTTATTTTTATACATTTTTTACAGTCAGTAAATCTAGTTACTTTTGACTATATTTTATAATATAAAACTGCTAAAATTGCATGCGCATGGTTTTGGTGATTAATATAAAATTAAGTCGCAATATAATTTGGATAGTCAGTCAAGTTATTTATCACTTTTTGTACATAGAGTTAATAATATTATCAAGAATAATTAAATATTAATATTTTTAATAAAAAATTAAAAAAAAATGAGGCCCTTCTAGTCAAAAAATGTCTTGTTATTTATTTTTTATTTAAAACAATTATATCTTAAAAATGTAAACAAACTTGTGCTATTTGAAGCTAATGATTTTTCAAAAAAATATCCATTTACAATATCATATGAGTACCTTAGATGCAAAACTCGGTTTTTGCAAATTAAAAAATAAAATAAAATTGACTTTAAATTCTGTTTAGTGTTAGTCCTAGATAAATGGCGTTCATAAAACTTGATACATAATAATATTATATTATATATATTATTATGTATCAAGTTTTATAAACGCCATTTATCTAGGACGAACACTAAACAGAATTTAAAGTCAATTTTATTTTATTTTTTAATTTGCAAAAACCGAGTTTTGCATCTAAGGTACTCATATACATTATCTTGCTACAGCCACAAAATATTAATTTAAAATATAAGTGTACGAAAATAACAATTTGGATTATGTCTGTTTTTGTAAGAAGCGCCTCAATTTAGTATATGTACTGTTTTTAAATGTGATGCATCTGGCCTCCCATGAAATGTTTTTTTACGACAACCTGTTTCCGAGAAAATAAAATCAAAAAGGATGCCCGTGTCAATCTGTTTGGGGTTATTTTGGCGCCCAAAAACAAACCGGAATAATGTAAGCCTATCGTGGGGTTACTTTGGCACCAATTTAAAGTTATTTTTTTTATTTTTAAATCTTTATGATTTAGTATTTTTGATTTAAATAGAAACATTCTTAATAAAAACATTTTTATATTTAAAAAAAAGGCTAAACAATTAACATAATATTTTTAGATCATTCTACACAGAAAAAAAAGTAGTACCGATAACTAAATATTTAAGTACCGATAACTAATATTTAACTATAGTAATAAAAAAATATAACTGTATTTGGGACAGTTATTTCATTTATTAATGTTTATTAAAAGGTTTTCTAAAAAGGTTAAATTGCAGTTATTATTGTTACTAAACAAAGTTTAGCTGTCATAATTAAAGTTATTTGTTGGAGTATTAAACTTACATAATTACCATATTTAAACAGTTTAACTACAGTCGCAAAATCTTTACCCACCCTAAATACATTGTATAGTTAAAATACAGATGCTTTAATTAACTATACCAATATAACTGCTTTAATTGATTGTAGGAGCCTGGCTGGATAATAGGATTGAAGTGTATTAGTTCAAAAAACTGCTTATTATAATCATTTATTAAAAAAATAAAATAAAAAAAATACAGAAATTCTTTGGCATCGTAACTACAAATACATATTATAATATAATACCTAAAGTAACATATAATATTGAAAGATCAAAAAAAATTCTTTGGCATCGTAACTACAAATACCTATTATAATATAATACCTACAGTAAAATATAAATACCTTATATTAAAAATATTTAATATTAAAAAATCAAAAAAAATATTTAATACTAAAATTATATATACTATAGTAGAAAATTTGCACAAGTGTTTCCACACTATTATAAAAGTAAGGTACACATTTTAAGCAAATTAACCTACAGTTACAGAGGCTATACAAACAAAAAATCTGAAATGCTTTAAACATTTTCAAAATAATCTTTCATTCATACATTCATTACACAAAACTAAAAAAGTTTTGTGATGCATTATGAATGTAGCTTAGGACAACATGGCGACAATTGCCTTTTCCCGCGCACCGATATTTCTATTGAACTTCCATTCATCATGCCATCGACCATAAAAATAAACGATAAATTGTAAAACATTTTAAATAAACAACTTACCAGAAAAAGCTTCGTAAAATTCTTCTAAATTAATACTTTTTAAAAAGGATTTACACTCCATTTCCATTTCCATAATTCACTCACCAGCACAACACAAAGGCTAGAAACGAAATGCCGGCAGAGACAACATTTATTTTAATTTTAACTATGGCCTTAAAAAAGTTTATTTACAACAGTTTTTTAATAAACTTTTCAATTAAATTATTTAACTATATTCGTTAAACTAAAATTAAGAAAATAATTTAATTATAACAACTAATCATACAACAGATATAGTTAATGGATCTTATGGTGGATTTATGCCGCAAAAATTAACATTAACATTAACATTATTACTAAGAAGTTAAATAAACGTAATGCAATGGAAGCTTTTATGCAACACATTAACATTAACATTAAGATTAAATTAAATTAAGAGTTGGCCAACTTTTAACTTCTTAATGATAATGTTAATTTTTAATCGCGCTGCGCATATTGCGGCGCAGATTTCAGTAATGCCAATATAATCACAAATTAAAACGTAATTCTTTTTTTCTTGTTATTTATGTTCTGTGTTTTCGATACTTCATTTGTTTTCTTTAAAAACTTCGTCAGTGATTTTCGTATCAAGATTCTGTTGTATCAAGATGAGTTTAAAAGATGGTGAGCTCATTGAGCAAGTCGAAAGTTTTTCCTTTTTATATAATAAAAATGCTCCCAGTTTTAAAGACAAAATTGCACGGGAAAATGCGTGGAAGACCATTTGGTCAATTTTGGAAGTGCCTGGTAAGTACTAGAGTTTTTAACGAGAAGCAAGTAAATTTAAATGAATATTTTGCTGTTGTAGCTGAAGAATGTGAATAGAGGTGGTCAGTTCTCAGGAGTCGGTTTTGCACGGAACTAAGAAATATTAAAAACACCCCCTCTGGCAGCCAAGCCACCAGCCAGTGGCCCTTATTTAAGGCTTTGTCCTATCTAATACCCTTTATATGTGCCAGAAGGTTAGTTATTTTATTATTACACTTTTAACACTTACATCATAAATAACTATTACAGAACTAAGGGAAATGTGAATGTGAAGAAATTAAAAAGCCCTGTCCATAATGTATAGGATACATTTTCACAAGTGTCCCAGATGTCCACAGAGGACACATCAATAGAGGACACATCAATAGAGGACACGTCCATAGGAAGTTTGTCAGTGTGTCGAGGATAGAACCAGCTCCACAGAGCCCACTACTTCAACGCCATCTTCAAGTCGCCAAAGTGGCAATCCCACCCAAATGTCAGAATTGCGGGCTGACACCCGGGCCTGTAAGAGAAGGAAGGTGGAAGATGGAGAGCTAGGCTCTGTCCTCAAGGTAGCTATGAGTGGTTTTCATAGCTACCTCGATGAGCACAAAAATGCGGCTTCCCGCCCTAAGTCCCCCGAAAACGCTGATATTACTTTTGGTAAACTGGTGGGAAATTATTTGGGGGAAGTAATTCTTGAAATTTTTATTCACAATGATGAGGAAGAATCCGTTAGCTCTGAAAGCTCTAAAATAAATCTTAATTTAGTTAATAAATTATTTAATAAGTAGTTTTTTTATTATTTATTTAATATTGTGCTTTATTTTCCACATTTCTATAATTTATAGCATACAATGTAAGTATAAAAATATGTATGGCTCATAATATTTTACAATACTAACCGTTTAAAAAAACATAGTAATATTAAACAGGGAATAAATAATCTATTTTACCCAAAAAATGTTAAAAACTTTTCTCCCTATAAATTAACAAATTTCAAACATATAATAAATAATAAAATATACTAATAAAGATAATATATTATTATTATTAATAAATACTTTTTATTATACGTTTTTAACTTGTTGATTTACACGCTCAAATATTTTTAGCATTTTTAGTGTAAAATAGATATAGAAATGTAGATATAGAAATATTATTTATTGCCTGTAATAAAATTTAAAAAAAAATGTCTAAATTAACAAGATAAAAACGTATATTAATGAGTTCTACAAGAATTATAATTTTTAAACAAAGTCATTACAAAAATTTACATCATTAACCTTAAAATAATATTTTTTTACACATTATAAGTAAAACTCTGAGGCACTGAACCACGAAGCACATAGTCCACCTGCCAGGGTACACTTCCCTCAGGTGACATTACATATTGTCTAAGAAAATCTCTATTTTGCATGGCTATGCGTGAAGCATTATTTGTCCCAACTCTGTTGACAGACTTTAACATCGGTGTTTGTCTCCATTGTCCAGGCCTTATGTTACCACCAGGCAATTCCACATCAGCAAAATCTGTGGGACAGTATCGACGCTCTGCTTCGTTGCGTTGGATGAAATTGTGCACCACACAAGCCATCGTGATCGAGAGGCAGGTGTCATAGTCTGCAAGAATATTGCCACGTAAAATTCGACATCGTTGGGCCAAAATGCCAAAGGTGTTTTCGATTAGCCGACGGGCTCGCGACAAATGGTAATTGAAAACATTTTGCTCTAGCCTGAGGTGTTGACCAGGGTATGGACGCATGATGTGTCTATGCAGAGGAAAGGCTGCATCAGCAGCAAAATAGTGAGGCAATACCTCTGCTATTAGGCAGTTGCTTCTCCACTGGCAATCCAAGCAGTGGCGGATTGGGGATTTTGGGTATACCAATATCTCAGTTATTAGACATGGGACCCACACCAAATTTATAATAGTTTATTATGACATTAAATAGACAAGTTCGGTGCAAACAGAATTTAAATTGAAGTTTGCGAAAAAAAGTTAGTTTTTTGTGTCGCCTCACCTAGCTTCTGGCCCCCCCAACTTGCACCTTAAAAAACTATGTTTTTAGTTCGCAGCATTATTAATATCAAAATTAGTAAGACATATATGTCTAAACATTCAATTTTCTTAGTTTCTTTAAGAAACTTTCTTGACCCATTACACCTGTCGGTATTTGAAGTTGGTGGAACGCACTTAAAACAAAAAACTTTGGCGAGGTGTAGGTTCAATTTTTTCTTATGAATATTACCAGTTTCTTAAAGAAACTTAGAAAATTGAATGTTTACCTTAATGTTTAGTCCGGTTGGGCTAATTCTAGATTTCTTTAGGCCATATTAGTATCTGTGATACAATTGCTGTGTGCAGTCCCGGTTGCATGGTATGTACCGATTGCGGCAAAGGCCACGTCGTTTGACGGTGTGGATCACCTGATGTTCTTACATTTCACCTCTGTTGGCTTATCAATCGAGCATATAAGCTCAGGGAGTTCTTTGTTTTGAGTGTGTTCCACTACACCAAGTTGCCCGACACTGATGAGACCCAATATAGGTCGAAATAGCTGTCTGTCGGTATTTAAAGTTGGTGGGACGCACTCAAAACAAAAAACTTTGGCGAGGTGTAGGTTCAATTATTCAATTATAAAGTTATTTAATAAAACACGTAGTCAGATAAATCCGCACAGAAAAAAAATTAATATTAATCGTCTCAAACTAATTATTAGCTATAAAAAGGAAACCAACGATCCGCGACCCGCTAGACCAACAATAGTTAATCAAAAATCAATTCAGAGATTCGACTTGTCTCAAGCCAACTCAAAATCTCTCTGGGTCCGTTTCGTTTGCAAAGCTTATCGCTAAGCGGTTCCCTAAAAAAACATTTTACCCCTCCTAACATATTTTCTACGTTTTAAAGAACTGTAACTAATTTGTCTAGACAAATTCACATAAATTATATCAACTAAAATAAATGTATCGTATTAGTGTTAGACTTAATCATAAACACCTAATACGAGAAAAATGACTACTCCACATGTGGGACATGCCTGGGACTTTTTGTTTAGCCTAAACATCGTCACACAAATCGTATTAACAAAAATAAACAAAATTCTAAGAAAGATTCATGAGCGTAGACCACTAATTTATAAGGGCGCCGACATATATGTCTAATATCATAACCGGTATAAAATTAATAATATTTTTGCATTTTCTGATTCAAATATTGTATTATCATGTATACATTCATCTCCTCATCGTTGACAAACATTTTTAGCTAATCGTGTAGAAAAAATTCATGACAATTTGTCACCTACTCATTTTTATCAAATTAATGGGAATAAAAAAGTGATTGTGTTTCAAGAGGTTTATACCTTTACAAATATTAAATCATTCATTGATGTGGAATGGCTTTTCTGGGCTCATTATCTTTTATCAAATTGGCCAATTAAACCATTTGATATTAAAAAACATAACTCAGATATTCCTGAAATAAAAGAACAAGTGTTTTAAATAAATACCTCGTAAGAAACCTATTTTTTTATAATCTTTCGTTAAGAGTTTCATCTTGGTCTAAATTATTAAATATAATTATAAATAGGATTTTTAAAGAAATTGAATTAAAAAAATTTTACTTAAATTTCAGATCTTGAAATTGCTGAAAAAGTTATTTTAAACTACTGACAACAAAGTTATTTTAAAAACGAGTTAAATAACAAAGATATTTTAAATCGCATTTTTAGAAAATTTCTTGATGTTAATGTTTAATTAGGTTGGGAGGTCGTTTATCAAATGCAAATATTCCGTTTTAAAATCGTCACCCTGGTAGAAACCATATAGTGAATATATTGAATGATCATTTTCATGGTTTAAATTATCATACTGGTTCTTATTTATTAGTGTCGTTGTTAAGACAAAGATATTGGATTATTGCTGCTAGAAATATTATACGTCATCGAATATCTTTATGTAATTTTTGTTTTTAAACATCACCTAAAATTTTAACTCCTAAAATGGCAAATTTACCCTCTGCTCATGTTCAAGAAGCAAAAGCATTTACACATACTGATGTAGATTATGCCGGTCCTATAAATATTACATTGGCTAGAAAACGAGGTATTAAAAGTCAAAAAGCTTATTATTATTATTTATTTATTTATTTGTCTTACAACTAAAGCAATACATATTGAATTGGCTTCAGACCTTAGTTCTGATAGATTTGTAGATGCGTTTAAAAGATTTGTTTTTAGAAGAGGGCCTATTTCATGTTTATATTCGGATAATGCAACAAATTTAGGGGCTAAAATACATTTAAATGAAATGTTTCATTTTTATATTCAAATGAAATGATCGTATGTTTGCGTACGACGCATTTGTATGGAAGCATCCCAAGCCGCTATACTGGGTTCACAACCTTCGAACAAATGGAAACATAAAAAAAATCACCTGGCCGGGCTAGAATGGCGCGAACCCTCGAAAACGTGGAGAGGGTTAGGGAGGCATTTTAAAGGAGTCCAGAGCGTTTTGCACAAAAACACGTATCGTGAAACATGATTAACAACTTTCTAAGCCCTGAATTACGCAGACGAAGGCGGACTATTCCTCAAGAGGAAACTTGGTTTTAACCAGATGGCGCCACCCCTCACACAGCAAGAGAAACAATAAATGTTCTGCTTCAGATGTTCGCAGGGCGTCTGATTTCAAGCTTTGGGGACGTGCCATGGCCTCCGAGGTTACCAGATTTGACAATGTGTGACTTTTTCCTCTGGGGTTATCTCAAGTCTAGTGTTTACCTTAACAAACCCAGAACAATCGACGAACTAAAGGAATCAATTCGTGAAGAAGTCCGGGCGATCGACATAGGGGAGACCGGGGTAGAACGGAGTACCGGGGCAGAACGCTGTTTTATTTAAATTTCCCGCTGCAGTAGCACTATCGTCCTTTGTTATCATTTACTAGAAGGCCAACACGTCAGTTGGTAATGACAAACGGGTTACTACAAACGTTTTAGTGTGTTTTAGACTAAACGTGGTGAAATTGTGTTTAGTTTTATCTTTTCGATATATATATATTGTATATACCCATTTTCACCTTCATTAGAGGGTTGGATTTTATGCACACAGTGCCAATAGTGGGCTCATAATTCGTGTGCGGGGATAGAGAGTGATGACGACGATGCAGAACTTCTGTGAATTTTGTAAGCCCGATAACCCCATTCTGCCCCGTAGGCGGGGCAAAATGGAGTAAAGGACTATTTTTTTTAATACGATAATAAAAAAAAATTGTTAAGCATTTATGTTAATTTTTTTTGTATTTTGTTTATAATACTTTAATAAATCGTTCTGCTTTTTTTTGAATTTGTATCACGTCTCTACCCTACTAAAAATAATGTTTAAACGTTAGAGTCCCCATTTCGCCCCGGTCTCCCCTACCTTTATTGGAGCGGGTTCATAAACCGACTTGAATTGTGCTATATATATATATATATATATATATATATATATATTGTAACGCTAAACTTTATAATAAAATAAAAAAATAGCGCACTTACCTCGGCAACTCTTATTTGTCGACGCTAGGTCGGGGTTCAGGCAAGTACGAACGAAAATCTTGAGTTAGGGGCGCCAGTTGCGACAAACTCAACAGGTAGTCAGGGTAAAATAATTTCACAATAACACTATTTTGCAACTTTAACAATGTCAATTTATTAACAACTAATATTGTTAGGATTATTCTAAATTTTAGAATCTAAAATTTATAATATGCGTTGCACTGTGCGAGTGATATAAACTCGTCGCACTGTGGATTACTTCGATAATCGAAATTCGTTTGCCTGCAGCGCATGCATAGAGCGCATGCGTCTGACGCAACTGCTGATGACTGACAATTGACAGAATCAAAACAACGTTAATTTTAACTTAAAATATGGGGTAGAACTAAATTAAGGCCCTAAATATGATTAACTTAATTAAATGTCTGTTACACAAGGTACGTCTTCATTATTTCTAACATTAGGTTACAAAATGTGGATTTTACAAAAATTTTTTTAGGCTAAGGCTTACTTGTTGGCAATTTCTAGCTGTAACACTCCAATCCTGTCACTAGAACATATGGGATGTTCGTTGTACTACAATCCACCATACAATCCAGGAGACCAGGTAATTTTGGCAAGTTCTCACTCCAAATCAAATTTCCTCTTATAAATTTTTGTAATTAATGCACGACTTCTTAAGGGTATCCAAGCTATAGCTTCCAAGAACCAAACAAGTCCAACAAGTTTACCAATTAGGCAAATACAACCCAAAAATTAACAAAGTGGCTAAAAAGGCCTAATAATGGAAAATACAAAGAATTGTAGAAAAATATGCGAATTGTAATGTACAGCTGAACTTACCCACAAGATTTGAGCCTTTTTACACAATTTTCAACAATTGATTGACAAAATATTTAGAATTTGGGGCAATTTAATTCACATCAAGTGTGCCGAAACAAAATCAAATTCCAAATGGCTGACTTAGTAATTTTAGTTTTCAAAGTGGCAGACTGTGCTATACAGTCTGCTTTGTTATACAGTCCGTACAATTACAAGATACAATGGTTATTTCAATTCAAATAAAAATTATACATAATAAAAATTAAATCTTAACAAAAAACAGATTAAATTGTTCATAAACACAGTACACCTTATAAAATAAAGCCCAAACACAGCAAATGACTGAACTTTACTTGGTAACCGAACCCAATTGAATTTAACAAAAAAACAGACCGTTACAATATATATATATGGCATATAATTGGCTAATGAAATATGTTAATAAAAATTGTATAACTTAAAAAACAAAACATTCCAAAATCGTGCGTTCCCTATGGTATACAGTGTGTATTAAAACGAATAGATACACTTAAATAAAACAAGTGCCAAACCTCGCCCACTGTGGTAGGGATTAAATTCGTTTGCTTGGCGTATCATTGTCGTTACAATGTCGTATGATCTGTGCGTCAGTCATAGATAATAAAACAGTTGCACTGAGACTTTGCGTACGTCTTTGTAAGAATAAAAAAGTATTTTCTCAAATAAAATGGTTTTTACCCGTGAGGAAAAATACCAAATTATGGTATGGCATCACACTGGTAGATCGTATCGCCAAATACAAACTTTATTTCAAAATATGTTTCAAAATAGGCCTTTACCCAGTGTACCTACAATCCGGCTATATGCCGCGCTGTTGCCATATGCTATTATTGTTTCCTAAAAGGTTTGTTTTTCTTATTTTTTAATATTAAAAGTAAGAAAATTAACTAAATCAAATTATTTTTGACATATTATTAATTTTTTTGTTATTTTTAAAGTTTCAAACAAATAAAATTGAACTATTTATTAAATAATTATAATCGTTCTCTTCTGATTTAAAACAACCTGGCAACTATGGTTCGTAATTACGAATGGCTTGGTTTAAACCACGCCCAATTAAAGTTTGTTTCTTTTTCTCTGATAAGAATACAATTTCTCATCCTTGTCTCCAGCCTTACTTACTTGATTCTATACAGTCTGTATATATTAAATACAATATTGATTTAAACTAAATGTTTATTAAATTCCAGCCCACTTCTATTAAATGATGAACCTCAACCAGAAATTCTTACAACTGTTCATTTTTTAATGTCAACTCCCCTTCAATGCAATTTAGTTCAAATTCTGATCAAACTTTAAGAGGAAGAAAACAGTTATAAGATAATTTAGTTAAATCTTATTGGACAAAATGGCATTTCGAATATTTACATACATTACAATTTAAACACAAATGGAAAAATTAAATATACCTATTAGAATGGGAACTATTATGTTGATAAAACATGATGATGTGCCTCCACTTCATAGGCCTTTAGGTGTTATAGAACAAGTTTATCCTGGAAAAGATGGGGTTATCAGGGTAGCATTAGTCCGTTCTCAAAATGTGGTTTTTAAGCAACCTGTGGTGAAACTTTGCCTCCTTTCAACACAGTGATTAAATATTTTGATATTTTATTTAAATTTAATTAAATATATTGCCTTTGTTTAATAGTTAATATTTAAAATTGTTATTTGATTTTGTTATTTAAACTTACTTTGAAATTATCATTTCAAATATATATATATATATACATATATTTATATATATATATATATATATATATATATATATATATATATATATATATATATTTATATATATATAAACCAGTTGTTAAATGGTAATTTCTCATATAACTTGTTCCGATGCTGTACCCAGCTAAAATGTCACGTAAGTTACCGGTCACCTATTGCAATATCTTAACATCGATGAATATTTCAACAAAATGTTTGTTAAAACAATTAATGTTAGTGCTTAATTAACTAAAAAATAGACATAACATTGACAAAAAATATGTTATTGTCTTTAGAGTACTAAAAGTTTATTTTATTTTGGGATTTCATTTGTTCCCTTATTTATTGGTCACATATGTTACCCTGTTAAATGTATTAGTTTATAATTGTTAGCTTGTTGACTTTTCTGTCTATGGCAGCATTTTTTTAATTTAACGGCCGAATGTCACATAAGTTACCGTCACCTAAGTGACCATTGGGTGACTTATGTGACAAAAAGTAATTGTTTAGCTCATTTGACATTTTGTGCTATAATTTTTAAACAGGTAAAACATGGGTCTAACTTCAGCTGAGAAACAAAGAAGATATAGCGAGCGCATTAACGCAGATCCTGAAAAAAAGAGAGGAATATTTGAGGAAAATGAGAGAAAGAGTGCAGAATTGACGAATTACAAAATTTATCAAAACAATCTAAAATAAAACAACGTAAGGAATGGAGGGATAGAAAACGTAGAAGCCGTGCAAATGCTATCAAAAGACGACGCAATCTAGAAGCCGTCTTAGATGCGGAACATCACAAGACCATCCGAGACAGACAAAAACTTAGAAGAGACCGCAGTGCTTCGTATCGACTAGTAAAACAACTAGAAAAAGAACTGGTACATGCCACAAAAAATATATATAAACGTAGAGTTAGTCGTTTAAAGAAAACTAAAATTAATAATGAAATAGTACGATCAATATCTCCATTAACCAAACTGAAGTCAGAGTTCAAGTCATTCCAGAGCCAATTAAAAGAAAATTCTTGTTTCAAGATACAATACTAGCTCAAGTTTGAGAGCTGTCTCTAAATAAAAAAAACTAAACAATCACTAGCATCTGTATGTAAAGGAAAGTATATAAGAATATAGCGGTTCGTTAAAAAGGCGAAAAATGAACTAGGAGCTTCAGCCAACGATAAGAAAAGGAAACTAGATCGAAGTCGCGCCTACAAATTGTGTACAACAATAAAAAATGTACTGTCGGGATGATATCCAAACTCCAGGAAAGAAACAAGCAATAAAATATCGCGGTATTAAGAAACAAAAACGTCTGCTTTTAGACAATTTAAGGGCACTGCATGACTAATTTTTCAAAGAATTTAACAGCACAGCCAGCCTTGCTACCTTGTGCAGACGAAGACTATTCTGGGTAGTGCGAGCCAAACTTACAGATCGAGATTCGTGTCTTTGCAAAAGATAACTTACAAAAGATGTTAGCCACTTTAGTAAGAATGGAATGAAAATCCAAGTAACAAAAACAGTTAAAGCAGTAGAAAAAGTAAAATTGGAGAGTTGATACCAACTTTTAACAAAGACATTAAGCAAGTGTTTTGCCCACACGTTTTTAGAATACGACTCCAGTTTCAGAAATTGTGTTATGAAGAAGCCTCAGTGCACATGGTTTTTTAGAAAACTACTCCAGCAAATTAAATTCTGAAATTCAAGCCATGCACTTCGGTGCTTCTCAAAATCAAGTGACACTACATACTGTCGTAGTGTACATTGAAACTAATGAAAAAAAATGTTTTTCTCAAAATCTGGTTCTCGGAGACATAACCCATCGGCCGTATGGGCGCACCTTACCCCCATACTATTAGAACTTAGAGATATAAATATTGAAGTAATTAATTTTTGGACCTTCCTCGCAATATAAAAATAATAACATTCTTTTCTTCAAAACCTATTTATATGAAATAGTATTTAAAATATGGCACATTGAACTATTCCGAATCTTCTCAGGGAAAATGTGCTCCTGATGGGTTGGGTGCCGCAATAAAGAGAATAAGTGATAACCTTGTTTCAAAAGGTCAAGATATAGACAATGCTAGAACATTGTTTGAGAAGGTGAAAGATAAAACTTCAATTAGGACGGATTTTCTTGAAGAAATGGACCAGAGAAAGACTACTAATTGTGAGAGTAAGAAAATTCCAGGCATATTAACCACTCATAGATAGTTTCTTTGAAAGAAGAAAATTATGTATACACAAGAAAGTATTTATGTTTTTGCAAATAGTTGCCGGTAATCGACTATGACTATTTCAATTTGCAAAAAATACCCGCAATTAAAGAAAATAGCACAACGGTTTCACAAAACTGCAAGAATGCACAAGTTATCTGATATATACCCAAATAACAGGGCAGTTAACAGTGTGTCAACGTCAACTTTGCCCTAACGTCAACTTTGCCCTGTGGGTAACGAGGTCCGCACTGGACACATAAAAGTTCCACCAGAGAATCTAGGTCAAGGTATAGTGTGAAAATTACGACACCTACGGAACCTCTATAAGATATTTTGGAAGAAATTATAAAATGACGTCTTATGATATTAGTTCTTTAATATACTATTATTTACCACTACTATTTATTATGTTCTCTTACATTCTATTTTATTTTACTCATTGTTTTTGTTTGTTGCTTTACATTGATAATAGTTTCAATGTGTATTATACGCCTTTCGAGCCTACCATTTATGTAGGTAACTTAAATCAATGGTACTTTTTAAATATAAATGTTTGGTGTTTAATATTTATGTACAGAAGCAATAACATTAACTCTTGTATAAATATTTTTTTTTAATAAACTTTTTTTAATGTAATAATTTTTCTCTTCTTTTAAATATCTTTTCAATTGCTTAGGTATATCCGTATCCAGAACCGTATTTACCACAAAAAAGGGTCCTAAATTAATTTCTTTAAACTATAGTCCATTCCATTTAAGAATGAAGTAGATGTCGCTGCAAAACGAGACAGGTTTACACAGGAGTACGCGGCAAATTTAAATATAATGGCGGTTGTCGTTGATGTCAGTTAATTTTTTTGATGTGGAAAATGGTACATAATTTAATGTTTTAATAAATTTTTATGATTTTATAATATAAAAATTTAGTTGTTAATAAATAAACCGAGTTTTATTAAAATGTAAGATAAATTAAATGGTAAATAAAAGGAAAAAATTAATTTTTCCATGGATTTGAAAAGTGCATTTTTTAATATAAAGTATACATATGTCGGACATATGTCCGCTTCTTACGAACCCGGTAAAGCAAACTTTCGGTTAAAACGAAACAACTCAAATAATATTTACGAACCAAACTCCTAAGTACCTATATGAAATTTGTTTATTTTTTCTAAAATAACAAACAGCGAACCATTGTTCGTGGTTTATTATGGTTCGTTATAGCGATTGCTACTCTAACATTATTTGCTAAGGAATATTTAATGAAATTAATCGAATGAAATTAATTTATCTATTATTTATTCATCGATTTATATTTTAACATATGATTAAATTTGGGTTAAACAAATTAATCGATATCAAGAAAATAAAATAGCTGTTGTAAAAATTTGGACCCTACTTACCCCACTGAAAAAAAGTTAATTAAAAAATTAAATCTAGTTTTTTTTTCAGTAAGGCTTAAATAACATACAAATACAATTAATGAAGGTTTTATTAAAAAAACAAAATTTTACAGGGACAAATTACGTCAAAATAAACTCCCAATTTCCATGCTGCTGATGGATTTTTTTCAACCAGTAAATGATTCCTACACCTTTTTTTATACTTGAAGACAAGTTTTTTTAAAATTCTCTATAAATTTGTCCGAGAAATTGGTGGTAAGTTATCGTCATCCTTTACGGGGTAAAAAAAGGAAAAACACAAAACGTTTGTTTTTATAATAAAAACCTATTTATTTAAAGCAAAACCCATTTTTATTATTTGACAGCACCTGGTATGATTACCGGTCACTTTTCCGAAAGTCATTTTCCCGACAGACCAATTTCCCGACAGACCATTTTCCCGACACACCATTTTCCCGACAAGATTTTTCCCGACACCATTTTCCCGAAAGTCGTTTTTCCGAAAGTCGTTTTCCCGACAAGCCATTTTCCTGACAAGCCATTTTCCCGACAAGTCATTTTTAAGACAAATAATTTTTACCACAAACTACACAATATATTTTAACAGAGTGACGTCATCCAATGACGCAATCTTAGGACGAGAAGCAGATCTTTTTTCCTTAACCAACGTCCCGAGTCCGCCCGCTTCAAAACCAACCCAAACCCAACCACCCAACCCAACCGACCCCGCCCCATTGGCCCTTACAGAATTCCAGAAGGAACAAGCGGATACCGAAATCATTTTTGACCAGGTATGTTTTTCTTTACTAGATAATAAAACTTTTGTCGTGAACATAATCTTTCGGGAAAAGGGCTATCGGGAAAAACGTTTCTTAAGTGGATAATAAGATTTTTGTCGTGAACATAGTCTGTCGGGAAGAGTGCTGTCGGGAAAAACGTCGTCGGGAAAATGGTTTGTCGGGAAAATGGTCTATCGGGAAATTGGTCAGTCGGGAAATTGCATTCGGGAAAGTGACCGGGAACCCCTGGTATACCTACCCCCTATTTTATTTATTATTTACATTAAGGGAACATTTTTCTAATCAATTATTAAACATATTTCAATAACATAATTACTTACTTGTTAAATTTTACTTAAATTTGGTATTTCAATATTTATAAAAAAGTTATGAACAACTTTTCTTAGGTGCTTCTTTGTGCTTTGCTCAATTTGTCATATTGACTTACCCGCTTTCTTTTCTTTAATGGGGATGTAGCCTTTCCGTCATGTTCCATTTATTTGATGGTGAACCAAATGGTACTTTTTGAAATACCAGCTTCTTCAGATGTTAATATTACACTTTTTGATTTTCCTTCATCGATAGGTATGTTTTTTTACCATATTAAAAAGTATTATTCTTTGACCTCGTCCTATATATTGGCCAGATTTGTTTTTTAGGACAGAGGGTTGGTTTTCCACATTGTCCACATAATGTGGACCACATTGTTTATATTGTCCATATTATCAATATTGTCTCTCAAAAATATAAAAATATTTTTTTCTTTGGTTATGTTAAGCGATTTTAATGTAATTGACTTAGGTACCTGTTTTTCATTAACAATTTATTAACAACGGTTAATACGTTAAATAAAGTCAAAAAATCACAGAACATGTAATAAATTAACAAAATTTGTATAATAACAGCTGATGCAATCGAATTGAATGCTACGTTGCCAATGTGCGATAAATCCAACATTTTGAAAAGATAAATTCTTTCTATATTTAAAATATTTTTGACAAAATATATAAATAATATAATATAATTTTATAATTTAAATTTTATAGAAAGTCTTGCTGGTTTATTGTATAATATTATTATGTCAGTTTGTAAATTTGTTTTTAGAAGCCATGGCAACGCTGTATAAGAAAATATTCAGTGTATGAGAACTACGTTATATCAATATCCAATTGGCCTGTGTAAAAAATTTTAAATTTTAAACGTCGTGATTGGTCTATTATACTATAATAGGCGGCTGGTGGATTTTGGGCACACCCATATCTCAGTTTTAGACATGGGACCTACATCAAATTTATATGAGTTTATAATGACATTATATAGACAAGTTCTGCGCAAGCAGAATTTAAATTAAAGTTTGCGAAAAAAAGTTAGTTTTTAAGTGCAACCCCTAGCCTCCTGCCCCTCCAAATTAAGATAATTCAAATTAAAGTGGTACAATATTTAATTCACTGAAGTTTATCGACAAATTTCAAATTTTTTTAAAAAAATTCAAGGTTTTATACCATTTATAATTTTTATTATTTCTTCTATTAAAATTAAAAAAATTATAAATGGTATAAAACCAGTAATTCTTGAATTTTTTTAATAAAATTTGAAATTGGTCGATAAACTTCAGTAAATTAAATATTGTACCACTTTTATTTGAAT